AAAGATAACCAGGTAGACGAAATTGAAATAAATGCGAAAGTTAATAGACCACTTAGAAATGAAACATAGTTTCTAGACTAAAATGAAATCAAAGTGATAGTTAATAGACTAAAAATTGAATTAACCCAATGTTTATCTGTACTTTTAACTTTTTAACTTTTATATATTTATTATTATTATAAAATTATAAAAACTATTAATTAAAATAAATATTAAATATATTTTTAAAATATTAAAAAACAAAAAAAAAAACATATCACTGTAGCTGCAGCACGTTAACACTCATAGACAACATCAGAAATAGTAAATGAATTCAACTAAAATTCTGTTGGTCTCTCCAAATCACAACATAAAAGGATTTTCATTTTTTTTATTTTTATTTTTCTGTAAAATTACCTACTACATGAAAATGATGAAATTGAGAATGAATAGCGTTTTTCCACGCTCCATATTGGGCGCGTGAGGGTCCACTAGATTTCTCCGAGTTTATGTTGGACCGCCGCGCCTTAGACTTCGGCAAACTCTTTCCAACTCCAACTCCAACTCCAACTCCAACTCCACATTGCGGAAAAAGGGAACATAAACCCTAGGCTACCCTCAATCTCCCTCCGACTGACACGTATCCGGACCTCACCATCGCCATCCCTTTTATTTTATTTTATTTTTTTTTTCTTTTATAACCCAAAATCTCCTTCTCCAAGCAACAGCTCACATTCTGTTTCGTCTTCCCTCCTGTCCTCCTCTGTTTGCAAACTTCTTGAATGGAGATATCCACCTTCGCTCTCTCCTTTCTCCCCCGAATTCCTCTCTTTCAATGTCGATTTTAGTGAAATAAGAACCATGCTTGATTCTGATTCCTTATTATTTTGATAGAAACAGTGAAAACAGAGGATGGAACAGAGAGCTGACGACCCAACTGCGGATGAAATTGAAGTCACCAAAATCCTGGTGGAGTTGCCCGACCTAATCCTTGAATCTGACTCTCGCCCTCGGTTTCCCTTCTCCTGGGGTGTCAGGAAGAAGAGATCTGTCCCCGGAAACGACTACACCCAAATCCCATCTTTGCCTCCGGCGAACCCATCACCGCCGACCCCAGCAGCAGAAGCAGCGTCGCCGTCCCTTCCAGGGACTGTTCTTGTGGCGGCTCCTACAAAAAAGGTGGACGCTTCCAGTCCCGCCACGCCTCTCTCGTTCTCGCCTAGTGAATCCGAAGAGAAGCGTAAACCCCCCAAGAAAAACTACTCCTTAAAAAGGGTATGTATATCGTTATATGTATCTCCTTCTCCATTCATTCCTTTATTTTCTTGCGTTTTCTGATTCCCCCTTTCTTATTTTCTTGGCAATCAAACAGCGGAGAGATCAACAGTTAGAGTTGATAGAAGAGTTAACTCAGCGGAAAGAATTGCTCCAAAAGGTAAACTTTTCCTCTCTTTTTTTTTTTTTGGTAATTTTTTCTCATTTATTAATTTGTCCTTTTCTTGAATTCTAGCCCTTCAAATCATGTGTACAGAGTTTCAATTTTCCTTTTTTACTGTAATTAAATATTTGATCTTTGAATTTCTGAAATCCAAACAGGAAGTTGAGAATGTGAGGAGTTACCATAACAAGCTCAAAGCCTATAATCTAGCATTGAAATCGAGGAAGCAACAGGTTTTTCCTTTTTCTTTTTTTCGTTTTTAATTTTGTGAATTCTGCCTTTTCTTATTTTTCGCAATTTTAAAATTTATTTTATCCCCCTGTTTTTTACAGTACATAAGCTCCGCCTCCGGCGTATGGCGTGCGGAAACACAAATCGGCCAACCCTCCGCCAATCACCACCGTCAGCAGCCTCCTCCCCTTTTCTACCAGCAACCGTTCATCTTTAATCAGACGGTGCAGATGGCTCAGATATCAGAAACAAGTGATAATAAGAATAATTCTCAGCTCCGATACGGGCAGAGTTCCTCCTGCTTATTGGAAGGGGTGAGAGATAAGGTGGGCCCAATTGTGATACCAGATCTTAACCTCTCTCTCGAGGAGGAAACTGGATTGGAGTATTGTGAGCCAATTGATCTGAACAGGGCCAGAGCTGCGCAGGCAAGACTGAAGAGGATGCAGATCTGCAAGATGAAGAACTCAAGTCCTTCCTGTAAGCCACGTGTCAATAACAGATGATTCTTTTTACGGCTTATTTGGATTTTTCCTTTTTTTTTTTTTTTTACGGATGCTGACGGTAGTAATATCCTGTAATTTCGGAAGGAGTATCTATTATGTAAATGGAGAAGATTTAGGAGATTTATTAGGATATTTTTGAACTTTTATGAGTTGGAAGTTGGAACCTAGAATATCTTTTTCATATAATTAGTAGTAATATATATATATATATATATATATATATTTTTTGGAAAAGGACAGTGAAAACTAGTAGTAACTTTTTGCCATGTCACTTCAGCAAACATAATTTGTTACCGTAATGTTTTTCTACCGCAACTCTTCACGATGCTGGTAGTTTCTATACATTAAAAATTCAAAAAACTGTGGGTTGTATTTGTATCCATTTATAATTGAGTGTCTTTCTTTCTCATAGGTCAGGGTTTAACCCTGGCACAGAGTTTAATTTTTTTTTTTTTATCCCCACCCTCAATGCAGTGGGCATAATCATTGGTTAAAGTGGAGATTACTTTGTGCGAGTGTGTGTACAAATTTCACGAATCCCATTCTTTCCAATTTTTTGTTTAAAAAAATAATTTTTTAAATGGATAAGGTTAATATGAGAGTGTGCTTTTATAATTGTTAAGGAGGAATTAATGTAAAAATGTATAAGTTATTTTGGGTACATTCTGATTATAAATATGTTAAAACAACATTTAAAAAAATATATATTTAGAATATTATGTATAATTATCAATAACTTAAATAACTTAATGATAATATTTTTTTGTTAAAAGTAAAAAACCATGAGTTCGAATCATATAGTATGTGGGTGTGATGAGATAAGGGTTGAGAGAAAGTTGTCATTGTGCAACCAATCATAAAAAAAAAAAAGTATAATTGTAAATTTACATTATAATGCATAATTATATAATTAATTTTTTTAATTTTAAAACTCACTTGAGATATTATACTTATTTAATAATATACTATAATTATAGATTTACAATATTGTTTGATATTTTAGCTATATTATTATCATTAAAAATTTACTCCCTATGTCCTATAATAAGAGTAGATATTTTTTAATTTTATTTTTAGATTAAGAATTTAGGACAAATTATATTTTTATCTATTTTACTCTTAAAATAAATAAAAAAGTTATTTTAATCAAATGATAAATAATTAGAGTTAAGATATAATTATAAGATATAAGGTTAAAGTAAGAAAACGATGTTTATCTCCTTTAAAATAGAAAAAAAAAACTATTATTACGTGGTAATTTTAAATCAAAAAGTATTTTTTTATTTTGAAATAAAGAGGTACAATTTTATTTTAATTCCTTTAATTCTTTTTGTTGATTGAATCTAGACCAATTAAATCTCAATAAGAAAAACGAAAATTGTTTTGAAGGAGTGTATGAGGATATGGTTTAAATTTATGATCATCTTTTTCCAAAAAATCATGTTGATAAAGAAAAACTTGTTCAATTCCAAACCAAAGTAAGTAGGGCCTTGTGCCATAAGATACATTTTTTCTTTTTTTGCCAACACAGGATTATATAATATGAATCCAACTTCTTTTCCTTTTTTTCTTAAAAGGGTAATTACTTACCCCTTCAATTGAATCTTTATATGTTGAATCCTACCATGAAAGGAACTCCTCTAAATTCCAGGACTCTCATAGAGTGGAATCAAACGATTAATCCACGCTATGTTACACGCGCGTAATTCCTTATTCTGCTCAGTTTAGTCCTGCTTTGTCGCTCGCAAATTACATATAAATCCCCCACCGTACCATCACCAAATCTTTGGATTAAAAAAGAAAAAAGCCATAAACCCTAGAGTGAAAAAATATCAATAATTCAAAACAGAATTTGACTTCTGTTATTATGGAGAAGGAGAATGCAACATATAACTAAGAAGAAGAAGAACTGATTCTCTTTTAATTTGATATGGGTGACGGAAAGAGGGAGGAAGAGATGATCAACGACGGTGACCCTTTGATGAACGCTACGGCGGAGGAAATTGAGGTGGCGAGAATCCTGTTGGAGCTGCCATATCTAATCGGTGGGGGAGAGTGTCGACTTTGGTCGTGTTTTACTTGGGGTGGAAGGAAGAGGAGAACGGATGCCGATAGTGACGACACCGCCGGATCATTACCTCGTGTCGAATCATCATCATCACCGACAACAACGTCACTGCCATACCTTCATCGAACTGAGGAGGAGGACATTGCACTGCCCAGTAAAAACGTTGATCAGGTTTCAAGTCCTGCTAGGCCTCGCTCTTTCTCACCGCCCAGTCGTCATCAATCTGAAGACAAGCCTAAGAATTTAAAGAAAAATGGTTCTAGTAAAAATGTGTGCATGTTAACCATTTTAGTACTCTTTTTTTCTTTTTAAAGAAAAAAATCTTTCTTCACCTGTCTTAAGTTTTCACTCTCAACCATGAAACCCTTTTTACTAATTAATCTGTTCTTGTTTTATATGTAGAGGATAGAGGAATTGTTGGGGGAGAATGACAAGTTAAGCAAAGAAATTGAAGAGATAAAAGTGGTTAGGAATTTTTTTTTTCTCTTTCTCTTTCTTTCTAATTTCTCCTCTATATCTTTTGTCATGGATTTTAGCATGTTGAATTTACCCAAAATTTTAAAAATCATAATCTGATAAATACTAAAATCTGATTTTGTGGAATTTTGGAATATTATCAAAACAGGAGAACGAGAAAGTGCAGAATTACCTAGATAAGCTCAAGTCTTACAATCTAGCTTTGAAAGCAAGGAAAGCAAAGGTGATTTTCTCTTATCTTTTTCATATATACGATATATAAGTGAAAATTTGCAGTTATTGATTTGTATATAAATTCTTCATTGACATTAAGGTTTTGGGTAATTGTATTCAAATTAATATTACTCAATTGGGATTGATTAGGAGAGATGAATGCAAAGGATAGAATGTTAGCCATGCCTTGTATTTGTAGAGACTGAGATTTTCCAATTAAGATTTAGTAGTTAGGATTTGTAACTTGACTAGTTTGTTGCTGACAGTATCGTAGATAAAACGAGTTAATGATGATGCTGAATTAAAAGGTTCTGTTTGACATAACTGTTAAAAAGGCAAATAATTTGGGTTTCAAACAAAATTTTTTGAAATACAAAGTGTATAATTAAAGAATAGAAATAGGTTTTGTATTATGATTTGCATCAAATCATAAAACATCATTCCAATAAAAAATGATTTCGTGTTTAAGGTGAAATTTAATGGTAAATGAATGAATGAATGAATGAATGAATTAATTTGTTTTATAGTTTGAGAAGCCTCATCTGGAAGCTGAGAAAAGCTTAAATCTAGAGACAGAATTGGCCAGTGACCACCATCAGCAACTTCCAGCTTCCCAGTTTTATCAGGGGCCGTTCATCCTTTATCAGACGGCTGAGCCATTGCAATTGAGCATTGCATCGGGTAAGGCCCATGAATTTTGGAGCCCAGTTAGTATCTCCGATCTCAACGTCCCTGCAAAGATGGAAGTTGGGCTGGATTTTGGGGCCAGGGTCAGGGGTGCCGCTGAAGCAAGACAAGGGAGAAGGGCCGTATGTAAATTGAAGAGTACTAAGGGCTCTATTTCTACTAGGCCACAAGATGGTAGATAACTTCTTTTTTCTTTTTCCTTTTTTTTTTTTTTTTTTTTTTTTTTT